CTGGGTGTTAAAAATTCCATGCATGTTAAAAAGGTCAGGAGAGGGGGGTTTCAATGCTAAATATTAATAATTTATTATATACAAATAAATAATTTGATAAACAGAGCTCTGGGTCACGTTACACCAATGCATTACAAGAATTACATTTGGGAGGAAACTCTTGGAAACTCTGCATTTCCCTGACTCCAGTATTTATACACAACTGATATTGAAAGGTGCGAGTTTTGGTGGAATTCGTCACTTGTCAATCATTCTGCAGTCCTCCAGCAGCTGCACCCAAACATACTTCCTCTTTTTCTCTTTTTCCGCACACCACTGAACAGTTAAATGCACCTGCTTTGAGGCCTCAATCGACCCCATCATATTTTTCATGTATGGTAAACATTATGATATGACTTTAGGCACATTTTACTTCTTTGCTGCACAGGAAGCCCCAAACATATTTTCTGACGTGCTGCATCATTCTAGTCAGCTGTATCTACTTCTGCAAAACTGCTAATTAGTAATATTAAGCATGTCACACTTTGAGGAGAAGTTCTGGTTAATTTATCACTTAGCTATACAAATGTTTAATGAAAAGTAAAAGAAACAAAAGTAACAAAAACTAGATTCCTTTTTTCACAATACTAGCAATTGTAGAGATAGAAGTTGCAGTGGTAGAAGGAGAGGTAAAAGCTTTAGTAGGATTAGTAGCAGTAGTACAAGCAGAAGTAGAAGTTGTAGAATAAATAGCAGCAGATGTAGTAGTTTTGACAATAGTATTAGAATGACAGAGTAGTACTGAAGTTGGATGGTAATATTAGCAGAAGAGGTAGAAGTTGTAGTATTAATAATGGTAGTAGAAGTTGTTGTATAGCAATAATAGTTGTACAAGTCATAGTAGAAGTAGCAATTGTAGATAAAGAAGTTGTAATAGTTATACAGGTAGAAGGAATGTAGTAGTAGTTTGACTAGTAAAGGTAGAAGAATTAGTAAAGTTAATTGTAGTAGCAATGCTGACGGTGGTGGTATTAGTGGTAGTAATAGTAGAAGATATTTGTAGAGGTAGAGTTGTAGTCTTACTAGTAGAAGTAGTAGTAGTAGTTATAACAGTGGAATAGTAATTGTAGAGATGAGTTAAGAGATAAGAAGCTGTTATATCTCTGATGTAACCTAAGTTGTAGAGAAAAGAAGCTGTAGTAGTAGTAGTAGTTGTTGTAGTGGTAGTATTAATACTTGTAGTAGTAGTAGTAGTAGTAGTAGTAGTAGTGATATTAGAAGTCATGGTATAAATAGTGGGGATGGAAGTTGTTGTAATATTAGTAAAGTTAGAAGCTTTATTAATGGTAGTAGTAGTGGTGGTGGACGTAATAGTACTAGTACTATAGTTGTAATAGTAGTGGTAGAATTGGAAATTGTAGCAGTTGTAGAAATAGGTGTTAAAATAAAAAGACAGGTAGAAGCTTGAATGTAGAATGTAGTAATACTACTAGTAGTAGTAGTAGCAGTTCAGTGGTAGTAGTAGTTGAAGAAGAAGCTTTCTTATTAGTAGTAGTAGTATAAGTCATAGTAGAAGTAGAATTATAAACATAGAAGTTGCAGTAGTAGTATAAGATGTAGAAGCATTAGTAACAGTAGTAGTAGTAAAAGAGGTAGAAGCTATAGAAATAGTAGTAGTAGTAGTAGAATTCCTAGAAGAAAGAGTAATTGCAAAGAAAAAAAGTTTTTAGTAGTTGTAGTAGAGTTAAAAGCTAAAGTAACAGTTGTAGCAGAGGTAGAGGATGTAATAATACTAGTAATAGTATTAGTAGTATTAGTAGTGGAAGTCATTTTAATTGTTTTAGTAGTAGTAGTAGTAGTATTACAAGTATAGCAAAAGATTGGGTAGTAGTAGTTGTAGTAAGTTATTGTAGTGCTAGTAGCAAAGTAGTACTAGTAATTTTAACAGTCAGAGTTGTACTAGTAGAGCGAAGTATAGTAGCAAAATCTTCTAATCATTCTAATTGTTGTAGTATCTGACACTCATTAAAATCATATTATATATTAAAATTTACATTTACATTTACATTTAGTCATTTAGCAGACGCTTGATATACAACATACAGTTGAAGTCAGAATTATTTTCGCCCCGTTTAATTTTTTCCCCAATTTCTGTTCTATTCTGGGAAGATAGTTTCAGCACATTTCTAAGCATAATAGTTTTAAAAACTTATTTCTAATAACTGATTTATTTTATCTTTTCCATGATGACAGTAAAAAATATTTTACTAGATATTTTTCAAGACACTTCTATACAGCTTAAAGTGACATTAAAAGGCTTAACTAGGTTAATAAGGTGAACTAGGCAGGTTAGGGTAATTAGGCAAGTCATTCTATAACGATGGTTTGTTCTGTAGAATATCGAATAAAAAAATAGCTCAAAGGGGCTAATAATTTTGTCCCAAAAATGTTTTTTTTTTTTAAACGTATAACTGCTTTTATTCTAGCCGAAATAAAACAAATAAGACTTTCTCCAGAACAAAAAATATTATTAGACATACTGTGAAAATTTCATTGCTCTGTTAAAAATAATTTGGCAAATATTTAAAAAAGAAAATAAAAATCAAAAGGGGGCTAATTATTCTGACTTCAACTGTATGTTATTTATTTTAGAATATGACGAGCACATGAGAGTCCAGCATTCTGGATGTAAACAAGACCAGTATTGTGGGCCACCATGATAACGTCAAGTAAATATACTCACAAAAATACTGTAAACTGTTCTGTAAAGAAAATGTATTATAAAAAGTCTTGACAACAGATGTTTTATGTTAATTTAACTTTAATGAGATAATCAGGTCTAAACTTTTTTTTTTTTTTTTTGATCTGTGCAAATGTCGGTGTTGCTTGTACTGTGAATGTAACCCTTGATGTGTGTGAGTTGATGCTGTTTCACAAACAAAAGCAACAGCTGAAATCTAGTCAGTGGTTTGTGCCTAGGTCGGCTGAATAAACAACAACAGCAAAACATCTCAGAATAATTAATTTATCTGTAATGGAGCTGTGACTTTCCTCTTGTTCTCTTCATTTGTATGGACTCTCTATGATATTAAGACACTAATATGGCACTTTTCTGTGTAGACGGTCACTCAGACGCACTCAGGAAGGTTGTTGTATTCCTGCCTCAGCACTCAGCAATTTGACATCATCCATTTTTAATGGAAATTTGTTGGGTCGCGGTGATCAATCAATTCTGAGAGTACAGTACAGCTTCCACTCTTTACATTGCTTATTTATTCATCTTGTTGCATATCATCCTGTAGGTTCAATATCAATAACTCATTTCATAGAGTTCTTCCAGACTCTTCCAAATTCATTTATTTTTCGGGGGGCACATTTTGTATAATCTTGTTGTCAAGGATTGTGGTAATTGTCAATACAAGTGAATTACTCATTATTTATTTTATCATGCAAGAGTTTGGGGGTTGCTTTTTTTTTTAAAATGCATAATATATTTTTTATTTAATCAAAAATACACTACAGACAGCGACTCTTTATTCCGATTAAACAGCTGTTTTTTATTTTAATACATTTTAAAATGTGATTTATTTTTGTCTTAATCTAAATGATAAACTTTCACACTGCGCTTGAACTCTGCAGTGACTCCACAAATCTCATGTGTTCTGAATGTGCTGTAGGTTAACTATAATCCAAACTCAACATTGTGCATGCTGCGATGTGACTATTGCAGATGACCAAATTGCAATATCGATGCTGAAACATTTTGTAGGCCTAATTTTAACTATAGAACATATTGAACCTTGTTTCGCATTGTATATTATAGTAAAACGCTGATTTCATTAGATTTTTTATTTTTTTAATGTAACTCTCGCATTTTAAATTAATTCATTTATATATATATTTTTTAGAAATATTTTTATTTAATTAAAAAATACTCTTCAAATAGTGAACTGTTATTACTATTAAACAAATCTGTTTTTATTAATGTATTTTTATACTTGTGATTCATTTTTAAATTGTGATATTTTTAGGAAAATGTTATCCTACCCAAATATTTAAATGCATTTTAGCTGTATTTAATAGGTTTGGTTTTGAGTAAAATGTAATAATTAGCTATTCTTAGATAACATTTCTTTCAAATTTTGAAATAAAAATATTGCCATTTATAGCAATAACAAATGTTTTGTTGTGATTGAAAAGCAAAGATATAACTGTTCTGAAACTTTGGAATTTGGAATTGGGAAGTTTGAATTTTGGAATTTTTGTGTGAAGTTTGCTTGCTCTCCCTGCACTCGCTGCAATTTCGCTATACGAAAGTGTAGTGACAAATAAAGGCTTGATTGATTTGCATGGGTTTCCTCCGCTGTGGCGATCCCTGATTAATAAAGGGACTAAGATGAAAAGAAAATAAATGATTTTATTTTAGTTTATTTTTATTTTATTTTATTTTATTATTTATTTACTTTTTATATTTTATTTTATTTTATGTATAACACTAAGTGTCGAAATGAAAATGTTTACTCTGAAAAAAAATGTCATCAATAGTTTACATTATAACAAAATTTATCTATATAAATCTTAAACCCAGAAAAACTACCAAAAGTTTTTTTTAATTCACAAATTCCTTCACTAATTCAAGCCACAATAAATAATTAAACAAAAAGCAAATCTAAAAAGCATCTTATTAAAGGATCCTATTCAATTTAAGGTCACATATTTTAAATTACATTTCTTGCAATTAATAAACTATTAACTGTAACGTTTGCCTTAATAAACTCCTTATTTTCTGCTTAGTAAAATAGATTTTATAATGTAGCAGTTGAGTTTAGATATTGAATAGGATTAGAGATGTAGAATAAATTCATGCAGAATTTGTGCTTTAAAAGTACTAATAAACAGCCATTATCCTAAAAATAGGCAAGTAATAAGCCACTGAATAATAATAATAATGAGAACTGATACCTAAACTAAACTGTTATCAATTTTGTTTCTTTCTCTTTTTTTTCTTTCTCTCTCTTTAGTGGAGCCAAAGGTCTATGTGTCTCCGGGCTCCTTGTCTCTGACGGCGGATGATGGTGAAACTCTGGTGGCGACATGTACAGCTGAACGGGGCCGTCCCGCGGCCGAGGTGTTTTGGGAATCAGATCTGCCGGGTCAAACAGCAGTCGTCACACAGTCAGAGCCAGAGGGGACCACAACTACTCTAGTGCACTACGTCTTGGCCCCTACACGAGCCTCGCATGGCCGCTCCCTCAGCTGTGTTGTTCGTCACCCGGCCCTTTCCAGAGATTTCCGAATACCCTACCGGCTCAATGTGTTTTGTGAGTGTGCATTCATCAGTATTAACTAGGCCTGCACCATGTCTGATATATACATATCATTTATATATATTTGCTGTATACTGTACAGTTGAAGACAAAATTATTAGCCCTGCTTCTTTTTTCTTTTTTAAACATTCCCAATATGATATTTAACAGAGCAAGGAATTTTTCGCTGTATTTCCTCTAATATTTTTTCTTCTGGAGAAAGTCTTATTAGTAAAATATAATGCAATGAAATCAGTCATTAGAAATGTGTTATTAAAACTATTATGCTTAGAAATGTGTAAAAAAAAATTATTATTTCTGTTAAACAGAAATTGTGGAAAAAATAAACAGGAGGGCTAACAATTCTGACTTCAACTGTATATTGTGATATGCAGGGATTACTTAATTCTGATAGCTAATTCTGATGTGGAGCCCCCTTATAAATAAGGGACTAAGCCAAAAAAATCAATGAAATTTAAAAATAACCTCATCATATATCTCCCTTTTAAAATATACATAAGACTGTTAAGAGATGATATCAATTTTACTGACCACCAATGGATCAAAAACACAATAAAATGATACAGTACTATGTTCCAACTCATTAATTGCATTAGATGGTTTTTACAGTGATTTTTTTTTTACAGTTCATTTGGAGATCTTCTTCAAGACAGGACTTTTTATCAAGACAGGGAAATTTATATTAAAGTCAAAGAAAAACTAAGTTTTATGAATATCTATTCAAGTACAGCAGATGCGAATGAGGTGGCAGAGAAGCTTACTTAAACTTGCTCTGGGAAACGCTGTTGCTGTCAATCATTGTTTACTTCACTAAGTTTAATGGTGAAAGGATTGATCAAATAAGCCTGTTGATGGAAGGTTTGTGAAGAAATGTCATGCTCTCTCGTAAAAGTATTTTGCAGTATTTTCAAAATACAAAATACTATATTTTATTTTGATACATTTGTGGTTGCTGTATTTTGTAGTTTATTTTGAAACACATAAATATAAGGTATTTTGTGTTTTATTTTACAATAAAGTCATATTAAAATAAAATAAAATACAAAAATTTAATACATTTTTAAAATACATTTCACCAGATGACTTGAATTGCTCTAAGTAAATATATGAGCTATATCACATAAGTAACAGTGTGATATGGCCATATATCAGCACTGGTGGGAGGCGTGCGTTGGCACGAGGCCGCAGGACAAAATTCTACTCGCAATACCCCATAATGACAATGTGAAAAATTATTTTTTTGAAATTGTTGCAAATATATTACAAATAAAAATCCTGGAAAATCTGATGTATATAAGTATTCACAGCCTTTGCTCAATACTTTGTTGATGCACTTTTGGCAGCAACTACAGCCTAAAGTCTTTTTGAATATGATGCCACAAGCTTGGCACACCTGTCTTTGGGAATTTTTGCCCATTCCTCTTTGCAGTACCTCTCAGGCTCATCAGATTGGATAAGAAGCGACGGTGTACAGCCATTTTCAAATCTCTACAGAGATGTTCAATAGGATTTAGGTCTGGGCTGTGGCTGGGCCACTCAAGGACATTCGAGTTGTTGTGAAGCCACTTCATTGATATTTTCGCCCCAGTCTGAGGTCAAGAGCACTCTGAAGCAGGTTTTCATTCAAGATGTCTGTACATTGCTGCATTCCTCTTTCCCTCTATCCTGACTAGTCTTCAAGTTCCTGCTCCTTAAAAACATCCCCACAGCATGATGTTGCCACCACTATGCTTCAGTGTACACTACACTACACTGTTAACCCTTACTGTAGATTATGCAGTAAATAACTGTAAAATAGCCAGTGTTTAGCTGTAATGAAAGGAAACAGTATTTTACTGTAAAAGGAGCAGGATTTGTATGAAATTCTTTAGTGCAAAGAATAAATCACAGTAGTTTACTCTATCTACCCATTACAGATATTTACTGTCATAATAAATGGTAAATTACTGATCAACCATTACTGCCCCATCTACTCTGATGCTTTATGTTGCTATTTATATTTATTATATAATTTTATATATTTCTATATATTTACTGTTCAGTTTTGATATGTGAATGGTCAGTATTGAGGGGAGAGTGGGACATTGCATTGATATTAAGCTGAATTTTACTGCAGCCATGTGTTTTCTTTGGTTTCTTTTATATTTTAACATTGAGTATCAGGAGTCAACCAATGCCACAGAGATTATTAAAAGCTTAGCATAAGATATGGATGAAATGCATTTAAAGGCAAAAATATTCACACAGAGCAAAGAAATTGTCATAATAATTCTTATAACTTTGTTTACGTTTCTATAATTAGTCTAATTTGCCTAATTTAACCTATAGTTCAGCTTTTAAATTGCACTTTCAACTGAATATTAGTATTTTGCTAAATGACTAGTAAAAATGTGTTATTTAAAAAAAAAATCTTAAACAGCACGTACATACATGTTTGCAGAGACTCAATGAATTTGTTTGGAAAACTTCAATTAAAGTAAGTAAAAGTGGCATTAACAGTATAGTATAAAGGCTTTTCTAAATAAATGTATAAATCATGTCATTTTTGTGTTTTTTTATTATTACTACAGATTTGGAACGACATGAGGATTAGATTATTTATTATCATTTTTTTTCTATGGATGAAGTTTGCATATTTTAATTGTTTTTATTAAACAATATGTGCATAATTGTGATAAATATAGGCAGTTGCTTTGAAAATATGCTATGCTCCAGGGGTGTCAAACTACTAGAGGGCCGCAGCCCAGCAAAATTATGTTCCAGCCCTGCTTCAACACACTACCTTTAGATTTAGTTTGATCAGGTGTGCTTAATTAGGGTTAAAGCTTAACTGCACTCTTACCCTGTAGATTATGCAGTAAAGAACTGCAAAATAGTCAGTGTTTTGCTGTAATGAAAGGAAACAGTATTTTACTGTAAAAGGAGTAGAGTTTGTATAACATTTTGTAATGCAAAGGATAAATTACAGTAATTTACTTTATGTACTGTGACAATAAATGGCAAATTACTGTTCAACCATTACTGTCCCATTTACTCTGATGCAGAGACGTGCATTTTAAAGGCAGAAGACAATGATTTAGGCCTCACCACACTCCCACAGGCTGTCTTATTCTAAACACAAAGGTATTAGAAAAAGTTTTCAGAAAATGCTGGCTCTTTAAGGGAGTCAGGTGTTTGATTTGTTTACTGCTGAGTGTGCTCTATTCTCTGTCTATCAATTCAGATGTAGAGTCTGATGTTTTAGGCTTTAAATAAGAATCTACAATAAGTAAGTAAAATGTGTTAAAATGTTTTTGAGGGTTTCTAAAATAAGGCTATGTTTTAAGTTATATTGTTGTTATCTGTGAACTGTGAACTGTGTACTTGAAAGCTACATTGTTAGCTAGTTAGCCTCTCCTCGCTTTTGAGTATATTTATTTATTGGATATTGCATATTGCAATAATGTACAGATGCTAAAAGTTTATGCACATAAAAACCAATAAATTCCATCACCTCAGTAAGGTAACATGTGTACAGAAATCATCACAGGGAATCACAAAAAATATGATACAAATAACTATCCACACACAAAAGCTCCACTATCAGGTCCCAGGTTGTGAGTTTGTTGCTAAGTACTTTTCAGAGCTGTGTTTTCTCCTATGAATTTATATTAGAAACAATAGAAAAGTTTGTGGTCATGAGATTTTAAAGTAGATAATAATTATAACAATAAAAGATTGGATCCTTTGGATTTTCGGTGTTGCCGACTTTGTTTTTGTTTTTTATAATTATTTTACACTTTTTAGTGAGAATTGACAGTATCTGCCTGTGTTTGACAAACATGTTTCTACATATATATATATATATATATATATATATATATATATATATATATATATATATATATATATATATATATATATATAGAGAGAGAGAGAGAGAGAGAGAGAGAGAGAGAGAGAGAGAGAGAGTATGTGTGTGTTCTTTTCATATGCTTATTTTTTAATAATTTGAAACTTAAAAAAATATAAAAATAAAAAATAAAATAAATATTTTGTGTTTTTTGCTTTTTTTTTTTGCATGGTCAGCATTGAGGAGAAACACATTTTACTGCAGCACTTTCTGTTTGTGTGTGTGTGTGTGTGTGTGTGTGTGTGTGTGTCTGTGTGTGTGTGTGTGTGTGTGTGTGTGTGTGTGTGTGTGTGTGTGTGTGTGTGTGTGTGTGTGTGTGTGTGTGTGTGTGCGTGCATTTTTTTATTTGATATGTGATTGTGATAAATGTTGGCAGTTGCTTTAAAAATATGCTATATACCATGGGGGTCAAACTCCAAGTTCCTGGAGAACTGCAGCTCAGCAGAGTTTAGTTCACACCCTGCTTCAACATTACCTGTAGATTTCTAACAAGCCTTAATTAGTTTGATCAGGTGTGTTCAATTAGAGTTACAGCTTAAAGTCCCAGTCACACTGCACTTTTCTCCCTCTAGACTTCCATTCATACGCATGTGAATGCTGCAGACCTGTAATGCTAGCTCATGCGAAAAATTTCACTGTTCGCAGCATTGGAAAGTTCAAACTTGGAGATCTCTGACCTGCGAAATCACATCATGTGATTGCTTGAGATGAATCAAAGATCAAAACATGACCTGTCTGAACAAAAATTTAAACTATGGACCAGTCGCTTGCTTTTTTAATCTCTAATTATTTTGTTTAATCCCACTTCTTTTCGCAGTGCCGTATGACAGAATTTTGCATGCTCAAACGTTAGTGTGACCGCAGCCTTACTGTGCAGACCTTTAATATGTAAGACAATATTTATATCTGCTGATTTCTTAATTTTGTTATACATTTTCTGTTGTATATTTGTTTGCTGCCAAAACAATAAAATACATTTGTCTAAATTTTTATGCCTTCTATTTTTAATAACAGGTAAGAATACTAATTAAATTTAGTAAGACTATGACATACTATTAATGTGTATGCAGTATAATGCTGTGAGTTGTAACACTACAGCACA